CGGTTCTCATCTGCTGCGTACAACCTGAATTCTTTAATAAAATAAAGTGAAAAAGTATACAATTTTAACAAACATTTGTCCATTAACAAGCATATTGTCAGTGTCAGAGTGAAATAAGGCGTTGCGATTTACAAGGTATCTAAAGTGTTACGATATACATATACATCTTGTTAGAGAGAAGTTTCTTGAAAAAATTAATTAACATTTGTGTTGTTGGGGTGGTAACAAAAGAAAATTAGTAATAGTTACGTAATTAGATAAGAGAAGATCAAAATTTTGGTGAACATGAGGTCAGATGAGAAGTTGATGATGTAATACAGTGAGCAGAACTCAGAAGATCAAGAAAAATTATCTCTTAAGAGAGAGTCAAGCGAAACATAAAAGGGGGGTGGAGTGAAAAGTTAACAAAATTGGAAAACAAAAAGTTACTAAAATTGAGTCACCAGGGTAATTGAAGTCCAACAAAGGATTCTTTTTGGACACATAAATCAGGCTTCAATCCTTTTTATTGCTATAGCTTCAGAGAACCTGAGAAGACTTGACGTACTTTGTCTGTTAATTATTTTGAATGATTCCAGCACATCTACTCGGTGTCCTGTGTCAATCAGGTGTTTGGCGATTGAAGAGCTTAAACAATTCGGTCCTTTTAACTAGAGGCTCCCTGGTACATGTTCTCAGAATCTGACGTAGACCCTTCTCTCTGTTCGGCCAATGTAACTGCTCCCGCAGATACATGTGAATTGGTATACACAGTTGGAGGTAACATATGAGGGGTACTTGTCAATCTCTGACTGCACCAGTGAAGAGGTTGTTCGGGATAGAGAGACTAATAATGCTGCAGGATGCGTCCTAGACAGGGCTGCACCTAATCTTTTATTTGCCATTCTCATAATGTCATCACCCGTAAAGTCAAGTTTGATGAAAATAGGCTTCTTACTGGCTGTAGGCTGTATCAAGCTTCTCGAGTTCATTCTTGCTATATTTGTTAATGAAACTTTGTGGGTAACCATTTTCTTTCAAGCATTTTTCAAGAAGCATTAGTTCACTGTCTAGTTTGTTTGGTGAACATATTCTCTTCGCTCTAGACAGAGAAATGCGTTTTCTCCAGCGTTCGTTTATATCTCACTGGACAGAAGCTGTTGAAATTCAGATAAAAAGACCACTCCATGTGTCTTTACGATATACAGATCTTTCGAGTGTCCCGTCGTATTTTCTCTCCAACTTTACGTCCAAAAAATAGAATTTTTCATCATCTTCATGCTCCATCGTGAAAGTGATGCTTTTGTGTACATTGTTGAAAACAGATACCTGTGGTCAAAGACAGCTAGCCACATCTTTTATATCGTCCATTTTCAACGGCCATGTCTGACAGTCATAAAAAGGACAGAATGACCTGCTGAGCCGTAAATATAATAATAATAATAATTTGCTTTATTCCAGAAACAGTACTAGTGGTACAGTGTGGAATTTTCAGCACAAATCTACAATATTTGCATCCAATTTTATCAAACATTTAAAGGAGTATTTCAAAATAAAAATTAATATAAAGACACCAACAGCAAAAAAAAAAACAGGAAAAAACACAAAATAATTTTTTTCAATGTGAAAAAATATCAAGAAGTAGAAAGGAAAATAAACATCATATCATAATAACTCAGTATTGGGTATTGGAAGCAATGATATGATTATGCATGGTGACAGTAAAGCTTTAGTCATACAAGAAGTTATGAAATGATATTTAAGAATGTTTATCGCCAAGATGATCAGTTAATTTGGTTGAAACAACTCTAAACAATCATAAAATAACATTTCAGGGTTGTTGTTTTGTTTTTTATTGTCAGGCCTAATGCAGTGTTTGTAGTGGTAGTGTGAGTAATCCTGCATAATACAAAATTTTGGTGGTGACAATGGCGTTCACAACCAATGATTGTCAGTTAATATTGCCGAAAGAAATAAAAAATAAGAAAAAACAACCACAAAAGCTAATAATTACATGATGGTTAATGACAGGACAATTTTGTAATACTCATAGTGCTAATATAGTCGGAACCAGTAGATACACAAAAAAAGGAATAAAGTAAAGTACAAAAAAGTAAGGCAATGTTAATAATTTAGGTAGCTAAGTATGTTTAAGAAGGCGTTCACTATAGAATACAAAATAAGAGAGAAATAAAAGAGCCTAAAATTATGTTAATAACAACAAAGCAAGTCACAGGTTTCGCGCTTAACATTGTCTCTGTCACTTAGAACACGGGCCAATTATGGTATCGTTGAGTTCCTGTACTTGGTTGTACGAGCATGGATTATTTTATACTGATTTCTGGTTCTACTTGACGAGATACAAGGAGAGAGTTGGGAATAGACGGGGTGTTGGGGGTCGGAGAGTATGGTTTTAGACCATTTTTTCGCATGTATTCAGATGCCTTTCAACTAATGTAGTGACGAGCTGACTGAGTTTTACACCACTAGTCCTACTAACTACCTTCAACATCCTTCTCAGGATGGTATATTCCTTTTTGATGGCCAAACAGATATCTAGCCTACGTTAACGACCATTTTAAAATGAGAGCTGAAATTTTGTGAAAAATCTGTCAATTGAGGTCTGTGCAACTTCCCAAATAAGCGAAGTTATCAACACCCACACTAATATCATTGCCTATCCTTAAAGCAGGACTAGATGCAGGCTTGTTCGACAGCATCTCACCCTACTTTTAACTGGGAGAGAATCGCATGCTAATCATGTTAAAACTTTTTCTCAAGGTGTTTATATGACTCTGAATTCCACCAGCGTCTTCATCTAGAATTCATGGATAATTCCCATCCAGGCATTAATGAAAACAAAACACGTAGATCAGCGAAGAGTCTCTTTTCGGCGAATTCATCTTCTTAGCTGTACAATCGCAAATATATATGCATTGCTTTGTATGTATGTGTACATTAAGTTTGTCAAACAAAGTTACAATCGGTTAAGGTTAATTTTAACTAAACAAGTGAAGGTTGGTAATACAGGTCAAGAAAATTAAGTGTTAGTGAAACTAGGGTAGTAACAAAGGTGATGAGTTGTCACAAACAGTTGTAATAATAATAGTGAGTTTTACTCAGGATGCACATAGAAACAAAGTAGATAATACGAAACCATGTAAGAAATCTAAGTGAATACAAGAATTATAAGCAACTAAGGAACAGGCAAAGAAACAAAATTAAGTTATCAAAATAAAATTAAAATCAAAAAAATCAAAACATTGTTACCATGAGAGTAGAAGTGGTTGAGTAATCTTCTTTTGTATGCAGAGCTCCGGTTTTTCCATGTGAATGGCTAGAGCTTCAGCGATACAAAGGAGACGAAACCGTATTGCCTTTGACATGTTGTTCTTGACTCGGTAGATTACTTTGAAGGAGGCGTTCGTTGAAATGCAATGATCAGTGCTGACCAGGTGTTCAATTATCGTACTCCTTATTGCACCAGTATTGCCTTTTCGCAACCATGCTGGATAGTGTTCTTGAATCCTCTTGGACAGGATGCGCGTCGAACGACCGATGTACCTGGCTCCACAGCAGTAGGTGAACTGGTATATGCACATAGAAGTGGCCAGATGCGGGATCTTGTCCTTGAGGCTTCTGCAGATTAGTGGGCGACTGGATAACACTATTCTTAGCGTTGCTGCAAAGAATGTTCTTCTCAGAGATGATGTGATCCTTCTCTTGAGAATATCGCTTGCTAAATCTCCCTTGAAATCCAAGTTCATGTAGATTTTCTTTTTAGGCGCAGTCAAAGTTTCGTTTTTCCGAATTATTGGTTTCATATTTTTGTCGATAAATCTTATTGGGTAACCATTTTGGATGAATATTTCTCTCAGAATATCTAATTCTGTTTCCAGAACATCGGGACTACAGATGCGTCGGATGCGGGTAGCAAGTGATTAATCTTCATCTAGAAGCATGATATCATTTGCTTACTCTAAATCAACGAGACTGTTCTCTGATACAAGTCGATCTCCACGTCGTTTAAGTCGATTACTACATCTTTGGTGGAACTAAATAAAACTTCAGACATGGGACATCCACAAAAGACACACCACTGGTCGTCAATACTTAAGACAACAGCTCTCCACAAGCCCTTACAAAGCTTTAGGATGAATATTTTTATATTATCTAATTGCTGGATTTTCATTGCGAACCAACATCAGTTAGAGAGATAATTGGAAACCATCTCTAAAGCACCAGATAGCTGTTTCGTCCTGTTTTGAAACTCTTCAGCAACGCCTACCCATAGCCTTACCAAGGATCGAACCTGGGACCTTCGGACGAATAACTGACTGCAGTTGCCTATAATCTACACTAATTTTACTTGGCATTCAGGATAAAACTAATATTCAGTGACATTTAGAAAACGTTATTCCCTCTGTTATCCATTATGTGCATCATAGCCCTTTTGTTGAGAAGTCTAACTTAAATTACAAATGTCTTGACTTACTCATCAGCCTACAATGGCTAACACACACACGCACACGCATAAGCCTTTATCGTACGTTACAATGTATATCTTAAAAACAGTTCACCATAAGGGATGATAGTTAAGTAAGGATAAAAATAGCATGAGTCAGTCATTTAACCAGTTAGAAAAATTGCAATATGATTTAATATTCGGACAAACCTATCACACAACAAATCTACACACACACATACACACATACACGCAAACACACTAGATAGGAATGAATGATTTAACCTAGAACACATCACATGCTATATACATTTTTCACGTCTGTTAACAGACCTTGAGTATTACAGTCTGGTCGTACATCTTTGTACTCTTCCTTATTATTTATTATATTGCAAGAACTGAATTAATCCACTATCTAACTCTAAGTTTGGCGAAAAAAAAATCACCAAATTTGATTAACCAATCAAATTTCAATGACATTGAAGTATACAAATCGATCGAATACATAAATGTATATAAATGTGTATGGGCAGACTTGTGTATGTCATTTGAGTGTGTGGGCTGCTAAAGATTCATTGATCGATAAAGATCATTTAAATTTACTTCCCTTGTATTATTATTATTTATTATACATATATATAAGATCTCAAATTCTCCCACTTGATACTGACACATTCATTTGAAATGTATGAAGGAAGGCGTTTTGAGTATTCTAAAAAATTACACATCATGTATTTTATTGTTAACATTATTCTGATGAGTATTTGTGTAACATCAGGGCAGTCTAATGTCTCATCATCTACTGATACTGTACCCCTTACCACCACCGAGGAAAAATCTACTCCTGAATTAACTACACTAGCACCAACCACTACTACAACAACAATAACGACGACGACAACAACAACAGTGACTGAGCTATCAACCAACGCTCCTGATACAACAAAGGCAACTGAAGGTGATAACTCAAAAGAGAACAAAACTGTCGTTGAAACATCAGGCACCTCAGAAGTTAATCAAACTCCTGAGACAACAGAAGAAACCAAACAAGTGAAAGATGAATCATCCAATACAAATAATCCTCCTCCTGGGATTTTATCACCTTCACATAAAATCGGTGAGGGGAAACCATCAAAAGTGATGGCAGGTGAAGAGAAGATAGTAAATGAAGCTCAGCCTGTCAGTTCAAATATGGAGTCAAAGAATGAAGTACAACCGAAAGAAGAAGAAGACGAAGAAGCAGAAGAAACAGATAAACAAACATCCGATGAGAGTAATAATAAGAAGAGTGAAGAAAAAGAAGTTTCAAACAAATTAGGCGGTAAGCAAACTGCCAGTAAGGCAGTAGCTTCAGGTTTATCAAGTTCAGGTAAGAGACAGTTGTGTAAAAAAATATATATCTAATTTGCCTGGTAGTTTAAATATATTTTGTAATATTTTTCATATTGTAAATTATACTTATATGACTCCTTAGGATTACTTAGTCTGTTTATCCAGTTGTATCAACTCTATGGTTGTTAAATAGTTGATAATTGTTTAAGTCAGAAAGGTTAAATTTTAAGAGAATTTCCTCAGTACATTATCTTTTCATTCTTTTGCTTTCCGAGTAGAATGAAGGGCTTCACGCTTTAGGCGTTGAAGTTTCAGTAGCTATGGTTTTGTCATTACGGAGTGGGGTTGCTAGCCTCAAGCCTAGCCTACCTTCACCTCTGGCCCACTACTATCAACTAGGTCAGGTTTAGGAATGGTTAGGTCGGGAATAGAGCCTGGACCTTTAGGCTTGAATGGGTGACATTCTGTTCCTCACCCACTGACCACCAAAACATTATACTTGTTATCTCACTTTCTGTTTATTTTCGAGTGATTGCTAATGTTAAAATCTGATTAATCTGCATCTTACTACTATTTTAAAACTTCAATGCCTCATGTAAGTGAACTTAACTCACCTTAGATCAAACTAACTGTATTGGAAAGGCAAATTTTGGTGAGTGAAGAGAAAATCGAGTAAGGTTCTAACGATGAATGCGGTTCACGATTTAAGGAAGAGATTTTTCCCGAAAATTGTTTTTGAAACTAAATGCTAACTGAAAATTCCTAAACCTTTCTTTTGGGGGCGGGGGAGCAATTAAACAGTGGTGTTCCGAGCAAACGAGGGTACCAAATGACCTTGTAGGAGCTATCACTGTTTCCTTAGATAATGATGGAGAAATCAAGTTCCGTATTATTTACGAATAGTGTTCAGAATTTAGAGAATAGATTTAATCCAGTAAAAATGTCTTAGAAACTAATCCTAACCCCCTACTTCAACTCTCAACTTTATCGGGCGATTACATGATATTTCACTTTTTTGAAGTGGCGCCAGAAACTATCCCCTAGGGATTAGGGTGTTTCGATAAATGAGCCTAAATACACCAGCATGATTTCATAAAAATTTAATAATATACGTTTAACTTTTCAATTTACTGCCACATTTAATCTATTGCATTGTATAGTGTAGATATCAGTATGAAGCGACATTTTCTGACACAAGTGCAGAAAATGTAGAGCAGTTGAAGTGCATTATGCCGTCAATATTATGTACGTCAGAAACATTTTTAGTGTAAAATTTCATTTAAAAAACATGCAAAGAATATAACTTTTCATTAAACCACTGTAACAATGGACTTTAACGCTACAATAAGCGAGGATATGTAATGAAGCCACTCATCCACGAGTGACCCAGATACGGACATTTAGAGCAAACCAAGATAATTTAGGTAAAAAAAAGGATTTTTGTGAAACGTGTTAAAAGAAGTGTAAAAGTAGTAAATTTGATACATTTCTTTAAAACACTGTAAGAATTACTCATGGTTCCTCATAGGATTGTCATTATGACTATCGATTAGAGTGAACACTTAAAGTTGAATAGCTTTGTTTCATATCCTCGTTAATTGTAGCGTTATAATCCATTGTTATAGTGGTTTAATGAAAATTTATATTCTTTGCATGTTTCTTAAATGAAATTTTACATTAAAAATGTTTCTGACGTACATAATATCGTCGGTGTAATGTACTTCAACTGCTTCACACTTTCTGCCCTTGTGTCAGAAAATGTCACTTCATACTGATATCTGCTTCGCTCAATGGTAGTAAATTGAAAAGTTAAACGTATATTGTTAAATTTTTATGAAATCATGCTGGTGTATTTAGGCTCATTTATTGAAACACCCCAATCCCTAAGGATAAAGCTTCTGGCGCCACTTCAAAAAAGTGATATGTTATATAATCACTCAACTGGACTTTTGTATGCTATATGGAGTGTGATAACTTGAACGGCTACACTTCTGTGCTATGTCCTACATCGAAATTCCAGTTCAATTCAGTTTGTTTGTATTATTTTGATTTCTTTATTGATATGCAAATGTATGAATCATATCAAATTACAGAATATTGTAAAGTTTTTAATATTGATGTTTGTTCTTGGTGTGAAAGTCGATCCATGTATGCAGTCGGACCAACTAAAGTAGATCAGATTTTGATCAGCCATATTGTTTGTTGTTTTTGTTTTTTTTTAATTTGGAGATTAATTTTCACTATCACTTTATTTAGTTCCATGCAAGGGTTACTTTACTAGCAAAGCCATTGATTTCGACATTGAGTATCAACAAAAATAACTCATGTGATATAAATTAAAATGTCATATGAGTCAGTAAAGACTATTCTTTTCGTAGCTTCAATTCAAAGTTGTACAGTTAGTTGTACATAATATTCTAAAAGGTCATGAAAATGTCTATAAAGGTCAATTGTTCATATCAGTTGGTAAAAAAAACAACAACATGAAATCACGTCAGCAAAAAATAATGAATAAAATACAAAAAAATTATTTAAATAGTATTACGTAACTTGAAAACGTAGAATGATGAATATTACTCATAAGTGATTAATTTTAAAACGACTAGCGCTTGGAAACACAAATATTATTCATAAGAGTGAAAAATTCATGAGTTTGAAAAGAAAGAATAAGAGAGGGGAGAAAAAAAACAAATTATTGTACAAGTCAGGAAAAAAACTTAAGGCTGCGATAATAATAATAATCGGGGTTGGACATAGGGGTTTTCCTTGCATCTAGCAAGAGAGTCTGCTGTTTTTTTCCTTCATGTTCCCCAGTGGAATATAGGGCCTCAAGCTAGTGGTTTGAAGTTTCTGAAGTAGTGTTTATTTTACAGGATGGGGTTGCTAGCCTCATGTCCAACCTTTCCTCTTCACCAGCATTATTTCTGGCTTAGCGAGGTGAAGGAGTGCATCGGCCGGCGTTGGAATCCCGAACCATGTGCATGGTTGGCGAGCGTCCTAACCGCTATGCCACCGACGCACAAGAGAGTCTGCTGTAAATAGAAGATTTGGTCGAAAACCCTTTGAACGACTTCCTGCCTTAAATTATCACTTTGAAAGATTTTTCTTTCGATCCCAGATGATCTGTAAGAACAAGATGTTCAAGAATTAAGCTACTGAGCTATTCGTCTAATTTCTCCCTTCGACCTTATAGACTTCTGTATATAACTGTACAATGAAGTTTGAATTGACGTTTGCGTAGGTAATGGTGAAATTAAAACAGTTAAATAGGGTTCATTATTGACGATGAACACGATTCAAGATTTAAGGGAAATATTTCATCCGGTTAAATGCCTTAAAATATAGCCCCCCTTGCCATCAAATAATTCTGAACTCTAAATTTAAGTTAACCTTTATCTCTTTACCCTAACCTTAAAAGATGATAGTCCTTTTAGATTTACTCTTAACAGAAATTGGAAATTATTCTTGTAAATTATTAAACTAGGAAACTTGTTTACTATTCCTACATTTTTCTATTTATTTATTTTTCATGAAAATACTGGTTTTTCAACTCAATAAACCTGATTTAATGTATTTGGTCGCTTCAAAATCATTGAGTTGCTCATTTGCTTTGATCACTATTCCTTAACTTTGTCCATTTCTGTAGTGTTTTTAAAGCAGTATAACAAAATACGTATGAGGGAAGAAACACAAGATGCACGGTTGTAATGAAACATAAGTGTGTTTCATGGATGAACGGTTTTGAAAGATAAAATACTTAAAGGTACAACTAAATTTTTGACATAACAAACATATATTTAATGTATATACCTGCTTCCCATTCGAATTTCTTAAAGAAATATATTCTATCTGTCTTTATTCAACCCTTCACATGTTTCGTAAAAAATCAGTGGTGGTGGTGGGGAGCCATTAATCACTGGGGGAAAGCAGATATGTCCAGAGGAGGAGTCCTAGAATGGGACGAAACATGCCTCCTGAATTCTACTGTTAGCCACTACCAGCCAAATAAAAATCATCACTTGTTACCTTCAATATTAAATACGAAGTTCATTAAGAACCTAATGGGATGTGAATTAATTCTTATAGGAGTATTTTAAAAATAAGTCAACTGCTCTCTTTATCCATCAGCTTGCGACATATAGTTTTTTTTAAACTTCCGAATAGCCTGCATTCTGACAAATAATAGTGTTCTTAATAACTGCCAGGTCATTTGCCTTTACTTCGAACTCTTTACCAGACATTTTTACGGCAGTTTCACATCGGGTAGTTATTAATTGCTGGCGACCTGCACTGTGGAAGTTAATTTCTTCTTGAGGTATCATTATTGTTGCATAATCGCAGAGCCCCGTGGACATTTGCTTGAGGCTGGTCATACACGGTGTGTTTGATTTGGTTTTTGTAGTTGTGACCATACTCATCACGAGGTAAGTCGACATGTACAACTCCTGGAATCGAATTTTTCTAATTCTCCCTCTTTAGAATGGAGAGGCAGCATGTTTAGCTTGCTTGTTGTGTGAGAGAAACATCTTACTGCTGTTACATCCCTATTCGCTAGCAGTTTGATTTCATCCATAGACCACCAGTGTATTATAAACCCCTTGCACTATGGCAGCTGCTTTTAATCTAATCGTTATTCAAATGACCTTTAGGGAATAGTATGACCTTCAGGTGTTCAGCTTTAAGTACAGTATGCAAGACTGACCACCACGTCAAGGTAGCAGTTATCGATTGGTTATCCGCTTGTTAACACCTGACTAGTACAATGTTTTACGGTTCCAAAAATTTGTAAATAAGGACTAGAATTCCATAATTTGGTAGTTAAGTCTTCAGTGTTATGAAGTATTAATTTGTTTTATAAACAATATACCTATGTTAATTCAGTTTGATGTAGAACATAGTTATTGACAAATAAACAGGTAAGTTTGATTAAACTGGATTTTATTATTATTATTATTACGTAACTCTCATTTCTATTTATGAAACTATACAGAATTTTTACTATGACTTTCGAATTTATTTGATTTCTCCAAATTCTTATTGATTAATCACCTTAAAATATCACAACGTTGAGCTGTTGTACATACCCATGTTAAGGAAGAATAGTGAATCTAACCGTTAATGTAGAAGTAATTTCATCATATACAATTCTTTCTTTTGATGAACTAGAAAAAAAAGTCCGAAAAAATTAAATTGAGCAGGATAATATGTTGATATCATTTTATTTCGTTGGTTCTTGTCAACTGTATGCAACTTAAAAAAAGTAGTTACAATATCAATATACAAAATTTTCGCATACTTGAATTGATCATTTAATGAATGGAAACCATCAGTATTACATAACTGGATACACGAAGAATTCAAAAGAAAGAACCATGTATATATTATTGATTTCAGATGGTTGGAGGCAATAGGCAGGAAACTCCACGTCTAGGTTTCGTGCATGTTGACACTCACCAGTTATCAAGATGTATCTGTAATCTTGAAGGAACTCGTGTCCCTTCTTAGATTTAAACCTGAGTCAACCTGCGCTGCAGTCAGAAACGTTACGACTGAGCTGTCCTGGCTTGCATTTGACCTCCTGTAGGACTGTAACAGATACTTGATTGATAGAATTCAGTCTACACCATATGAAGGACTAGACGCATAACATTAGTGATTGTCCAATATTCAATGTATAGTATGTGGTCAGAGAAAGCTTAATAGATGAGAATAGGTTTAGAATGTGAACTGGATTTTATGATTTTTTACTCCCATCATCGGATTAATTCTTTTGGGACAAAAGCTATATTACTCATAATCATATCAATGTACTACTCATATGACTTTCAAACTTTGTTTATATAATGATATTATTTCTTATCTTTTGTGATTTTTATTTGGTAATAGTACTTACCATATCTCTGGTATTAGTGTTGCAGCATTCCTATTGCACGTGTATAGTGTGTAGATTCGATGAACAAGAGAATTCAGTGATCGACCTCTTCCTTCACCTTCACTATGTTACTTCTTAGAACTGTAGCTTTGTCCCAACATATTGTGTGATGGTGAATGCTTTGCATTTGCTGAGTTTTTCTTTAAACTATCCATCTTGGTGGGGTTCAGTCATTCTACACTTTGTTAAATTTTTGTGTGCCTATAATCTGATCACCTTCGATTTACTCGTCTGACATATGTAGTTGACTTCATAGTCATTGTAAGGTATTTTGTGTAGACTAACTTAATTTGTCTAACTGGGCCAAAAGGGTCATTTAGCCTATAGAGTTTGAAAGTGATGTGAGTGTCTTGATATGATTGTGAGAAGCAGTAAATTTGTCCTCAAAACATCTTCCGTGGATAGTACTGCATCCCTAGGTGATTTTATCAGATAAATGTATTCCATGATGGAATTATACTCTACTCTTATATCACTTGAGGCTTAATTTTTACATATTGTTATTTTTGAAAAGACTTAAGTAAAGTGAAGGAACTAGCAAAATAGATTTGGCTTCTCATTCACATGTATCTAGAAACAAAGTCTATGGGCAGATTTCAAGTATGATGGTATTAAAACCTAGAAACTTAGTCAAGAATAAACTCTGAAGGCTAAAGGGAATGTGTAGATTGAAAATAATCCAATCAAACAAAATACCTTGTAGTGACTGTAAGGTCAAGGGTATCGGAATATAAGGGTTTAGCTAAGTCTACATAAATCAACCCTAAAATAACTAACTTAGAGGAAAATTCAGCAATTTCAATGCATGCATTAATACGACATAATCACAGAATAGCGTGGGATAGGGCTGTGGTTCTACAAAGGATGAGGAGAGAGAGGTTGACCACAGAATCCTTGTTCATTCAATCTATACGATAAGACTGTTCAAAAATGGCTAACTTTTTATTAGAAATTAGTCAGTGATCCTTGTCAAATGGTCTTAAGCTGAATCTATCCAAATATCAGGCTGGTGATTTCACTTCCAGACACAAGTGCGACTTACATGAACTGGTTTGTTCTCACGGTTCGACTACTATAGATGGCACTAAAATTGAAATTAAATCGAATGTTAAATATGCTTTGGACTGTCTATTTCCTCTGATCACCTTTCCTGGTCTTCTCCTCACATCATGTTAGTTCCCAAAATATGATATTTCGTTTAACTTTCTGTGTTAGGAAGTTAAGACACTTTGGTTTCACTCAGTCTCTGCTTTCTAAGTTTGTTAATTCTCCCTATTCTTGTTTACTCCTCCCCCCACCTTTAATCTTTCCTGGACTACTTAAGAAAGACTTTGTTATACTGCGAAGGGCACTAAAATGGTGTCAGTAGGACGAGTGGGGTGTTCCTAAACCAACTCGTTACTACTGTTGTAGATATACACTTGGACTCCTTCAAGAAAATAGCAAATATTATCTTGTTAGACCTTGAGCATCCTCTCGATACACGGCTCTCTCCTTGCATCTCATCAACTGGGTAGAACTAGAAGCAGCTATAGAATACTGTTTGCTTGGATGGCTAAATAAAAATGCTTTACAAAGCCTTATCTGGCTGGGACACATTTTATGCGATGAGAAAAGTGTGTAAGACAGGAAATTACCAACTTACTGCTTAACTGTAAGTAAACGGCCCTATTTTAGTCATTAGTATATTCTTGTTAATATTTTCACTTTAACAATATATTATCTGTGTAAATACCCTGTCTTATTGAGCAAGTTAGATGCAGTACTGTACTGCATACTGAAAATTCCATATTTGTATCAAAAAATCTCCCCAAAATACTGTTTGAATTAAAGCTATTATTATTATTGAATTGCATAGTGCCAATAACAGAGATGTGGACAATATTATTACCATTGAAATCACATAGGCTAAGAAATAATTAATGAAACCTTGATATAATTTCTAAGCAATAAATTGTACTCAAAACGTTATCTTCAAAAAAAAGATATTTGGTCGACTGCAATTTTAAAAATTATACACTACTAAAGTGTGTTCAAACGGTTCGATTGGTTGATCAATAGTAGAATATTCCTGAGTGATGCACTCCTCAATCACCCAGCCATCCACCCTCTTCATAGTTTACTAGCCTGTAATTGTTATTGTCTCCCTGGTAAAGAGGAAAGTTTAAGCGTGAAGTTAACAATCCCAATCAGTAAAACACAGCGTTTTTGTGGTTCACTGAAAATGCAAAGTAATGCACTCTTCAACCAACCAACAAATCTTCATGCTTCCTTCCGGCTAGACCACCTCTGTTCTTTCTTTCTTTTTTTAAAATTGCACTCATTGTTAATTTCCGACGAAAGAAAAAAGAAGAAAAAGAGAGAAAAAAATCAACATTTCTGAGTGCATTTTAGAAAAAAAATAAGAATAAAGAATGAATACAACATTTCAACTTTTAAATATTTTCTATTTTCTTATTATTTTCAGATAATCCTAAAATAGTAAAAGGTGCATCTATTACTAATAATGGTATTTCAACAATACAACAAAACTATGCCATGATACAATTGTTATTAAGCGTGTTTACAATGTTGTTAGTTTATTGATTACTGCTACTCTCATACTGGTACTTGTACCACCACCATTATTACTGCTACTACTACTACTACTACTATTAATACTACTCACAACTACAACCACAACAAAATTCCGTTGACTGTTGACATTCATAGAATTCATAAATATATACATAACACTTTCTTGTAATTAAAATATATTTATTATTATTATTATACATTTATGTTCTCTGTCAATTATTAATGTCCTATGGGTTTGATTATTATCACTATTACTACTGTTATTATCATTCCGATTATCAAACCGTACCATCAGCCATCCTTATTCTTATTGAAATTAATTCTGTTGAATAATTTGTAAACTTTATTGATCCAAATACATTCAGATAAAACCCTATGCTTTTCATTCATTCACTCGTTCATTTATTCAGGCATTAAGTTTACTGTGTTTGTTATCCAACTTTTCTCGCCTACGTTTTGGGGTGTGTGTGTGTGTCTACGTGTGATCTTTTGCCTTTTTTCTTCTGTTTTGTAGTTTTTAAACTAAATAACTAACTCACTAACTGATTGTTACTCATTCATTCATTCATTGTCATTCGATAAAATATTTTTTCTGTTTACAAAACTTTCACATATATACCATATAGAATAAATAGTACAACATATAATTGAAATTTAGTTCCTTCTTGATTATTCGGTATTAAAGATATTATTATTCCGTTGGGTTCCGAGTGTTTTCTGCAGTCGTCTTTAGTTGGCTCCATGGTTGCCCGTGGGCTGTCATCTCCTCTTGAACGTCTAACTCGTTGTTTTCTAATCGGATTCTACTCGAGTAATGGCCTGGCAGGTGGGCCTTTACAGCGTGTGCCTAATACACTTCCATTTTCTTTGATATATATATATTTATTAGGTGACAGCTTCCTGGTTGGTTTGTTGTTAGAGTTATTTGTTACTTTTATCCTCTCTGGCTATCTGATCTTCAGTACGCCGCAGCCAGAGAAGGCAGTTAGTTGTTGGTGAAAGCTGACGGTAAATAATTCCAAGAAATTTTTAATTCATGAGAAATTCCCATTCGAACATTAATAGACAGAAGACCAGTAGTTCAGCGAAGAGTCTCTTTTCGGCGGTGAATTCATTTTCATTGCTGTACAATCGCAAATATATATGGTTGTTTTGTGTGTGTGTGTGCCTGTACATTACATTTGTCAAACGAAAATACAATTAGTAAGTTCAGGTGAATTGGATGTTGGTCGATATAAGAGGGAAGTAACAAAGTGATGAGTTGTCACAATCGATTGTTAAAGAAGAGTTACGTAATTACATGAATAGTTTGATGAAAGAGTTGTGCTCAGGGTGTACATGGAAACAAAATAACATACGGAATTACGCAAGAGTTTTAAGTAGTTAGAAAAATAAGCATACAAACAAAAGTTAAGTCAAATAAAGCAAATAAACAAAAGTTAAGTCAAATCAACAGAATTGTTACCATGATAGTAGAAGTAGCTGAATAATTTTCTTTTGTACGCATAGTTCTAGTCTTGTAACTGAATGACTAGGGCTTCTGCAATGCAAAGAAGGCGGAAATGTTTTGTCTTTAGCAGGTTGTTCTTCCCCTTGTAGATTACTTTGAAGCTGGAGGCGTTTGTTGAGATGGAATGACCAGTGTTGACGAGGTGTTCTATTATTGCACTCCTTATGCAGCCATTACTTCCTTTCTGCAGCCACGCTGGAAAGTGTTCTTTGACCCTTTTTGACAGGATACGCGTTGAACGACCGGTGTACCTGGCTCCACAGTAACAGGTGAACGGATATATGCACATAGAAGTGGTCAGGTGAGGGATCTTGTCTTTTGGGCTTCTGTAGATCAGCGGGCGACTAGAGAACACTACTCTGTGTTGCCGCAAAGAAAGTTCTTCTTAAAGAGGTGGAGATTTTCCTCCTAAGGATGTCACTGAGTAGGTCTCCTTTGAAGTCGAGGTTCATATAAAGTATCTTTTTGGCAACGATGCTCTCTTTTGCTTTTGGATTTTTTGTTTGATGTTTTCGTCTACGAATCTTGATGGGTACCCTTTTAGTATGAAGGAAACAAAATATACGGAATTACACAATGGTTTTAAGTATTTAGAAAAATAAGCATACAAGCAAAAGTTAAGTCAAATCAACACAGTTGTTACCATGGGAGTAGAAGTGGTTGAATAATTTTCTTTTGTATGCACAGTTCTGGTTCCTCTAGCTTATTGGCTAGGGTTTCTGCAATGCAAAGAAGACGGAATCGCACCGTCTTTAGAAGTTTGTTCTAATTAATTGTATTTTCGTTTGACAAATTTAATGTTCACACACACATACAAAACAACCATGCATATATTTGCGATTGTACAGCTATGAAAATGAATTCGCCGAAAAGAAATTTTTAGACTACAGTGTTCTTCCTCACTTAACATTGGAGGCTGATGATCTTCATTGTTTCAGTCGATTTGTTAAGTTAAAGGTTTGTAGTCAAGTATCCATATCATTTAGCACATTGTCTGTCGTTGTGTTACGTTCGTTCGTGTACAATTCCTAACTGGCTAAGCAATCGGCATCACACTACGATGATGATCTTTTGTTTTGGACGATCAATATGGTGTTTTGATTTGTCTTCGGTTCAAGCAGAACAAGTACTATAGGAGTTGGAGGATTAGAGCTTACGTTTGTATACATCGTACTCTGTGTAAACGTCAGTATATCCCTTCATCTTCTAAAATATCAAAAATAAAATCCGAAGTCACTGAAATACCTAAAAGCAAGGAGAATATTCTTTCGATTTGATGTTTTGATAATGTACATAAGAATAAAGGCAGGGCCTAGCACAAATGTACATCACTCTCATTCGCCACAGTTATAAATAGAGGGGAACAGAAATAGAGCACCTGTGAAACGGAGAGGTTAGCACAGTTTTTCAGGATCTGGAATTCAAAAATCGACTGAACACATATGCGCAAATATTTGTGTTCATGAGTCGTTTTTACCAAGAGTGTCTAACTGTTGATTATCGTTTAGTATTCCCTAATGACCGTTGTATGGTTGTATATCTGAGACATACTTAAGGTGCCTCTTCAGTAGAATCCAACGAATATGCACTGAAGGCAAACTTGGTGAAAAAGAGAGAAAGTTGACGTAAACTCTGGTTGATAACAGTTATCCAGACAAGTTCATCAGGTGATATAAAGTAGTGGTCAGAACACCAAGACCCACTCTCTAACTCTCCCCTAAGAAAGACGTGTACATCAAGCTACCCTATATGGGGCATCATAGCAGCTTGATAACTAGACAAAGATTGAATGCTACTGTTAAAAAGACTTTTTATGATATGAGATGGTTGGAGGCAATCGGCAGGAAGCCTTGGACCTAGATTTCGTGCTAGTTGGCACTCGTCAGCAAGGCGTATCTGCAACCTTGAAGGAACTCATGTCCTTTCTGAGATTCGAACCCGCGTCACCCAGTGCTGCAGTCAGAGACGTTACCACTGAGCTATTCGGGCTCGCGATTGACCTCCTGTAGGACTGTAGTGGATATTCTGATTTGACACTAGTTACTAGTGTCAAATCAGAATAGACTTTTTATGCAGCTGATATGATAATCATTGAGAATGTGAAGCCAATATATCCATCCATCTAGGCCCTGAGAACATGCAGATAATGACGTCACATACCACTGTATTAACTAATTTGAATGTACATGTCGACACACATACATAGGGAGGACTCATCGATCTCTGCAAGTAAGATCTGGCTTCAGAGCATATTCCTAAATGGCTCCAGAAACAAATAGAATCTTCAGAACCTATTAATGGTGAGAACAAGAGACCTAGCTCCTCTATTGCGAAACATATTATAGAGACATAAAACCTATCTATAAAATGTGTTTGGGGCGTATCCTAAAGTTTGTGGAAGCCCTAGGTGGCAATTAGGAAGTTTAAACCACCTTTATGCGTTCAAAAACAATTCGTCATCACACTAAACCCACCTTGGTAAATTTTGTTTTGACACCAATCAGGGTAGATGTACTATTACCTCTGTCATTTGGTTTAGTGGTCTTCATTGTCAATTTGACCTTCAATATGTCCTTTTATGTTGACCTAAATTTGCTTTCTCACCTCTTAACTCTTTATTAATTTCATATGTCAATTTCAATGACACGTCCGTGTGCGTGATCAGATTGTTCGAAATAAGTGTTGCACAAATACACATTACACGATTCAGAAAAATTACGTCTTTTCTTATTGCTTTATCTAAATACTTAAAAGACTGAACTACAGTCGCTCATTTAACCTGACCCGACTCAGAATGTAAAATCTACAAAATTCTAATGCTATTTCTGATACATTTGAGGGTAGATGGCGATAGCATTAAGCTGCAGAGTAGAAAACCCACTATTCAAATAGATACAGTTAGACAGTCGTCTATGTGTCACTTCAGTGAATAGATTTATCAAAGATAAAGAATTATCCTTCTATCTGTCACTGTTTTGCGTGTGCTACGTTCGTGTGCATAAAAACATCAGATAGCAGGGAGATAGATTTGATTTCAGAGAAAGTAAATGATACAGAGTTGCTGTGGAGATACATGGGAGACGACTTGAAAGGAACACAAAGAAACACGATATGAAGGAACGGCAGACGTAGCAGGCACAACACGGAAGATTTGTGCAAATGGTGCGTTGAAGGTAAGGTGTACATAGTTTGGCTATATACAGGTACCTAGTCTTTCGTCTTCCACCCTCAGAATATAATTGATTTCAACCGTTTTCACTGGAATTCCAAGTGACTGTCTTCCACGATATAAATTATTTTGTATTTTTTACGAGTTGATCACTGACTGATATCAATTAGAGAACCATTGAAAACCAGGGAGTACTGGACAGCTCCTGTTTCATCAGCCTAGTTTGGGAATCATCGGCAGTACGCACCCACTGCCAGGGTTAGAACCCAGGACCTTTCGGTTACAAGGCAAGCTCGAATACCATTCAGCCACTCACTTGGACCCAATTCAATGGCCACTCCATGAATTCTAACTTCTACCATTTCGTGATTTAGCGCGACCCTAACCATTGTCGTTGGTGGGACATCCATCCACACACGTGACATCTAATTGGACCTCACTGGTCACGACTTCTCACTTCGCGAATCGCTCTAAATCACGAATTGGTAAAAGAGAGAATCCATGAGCCATTGAATCGGGTCCCAGTGGCTGAATGGTATACGAGCCTGCCTTGTAACCGAAAGGTCCTGGGTTCGAACCCTGGCAATGGGTGCGTACTGCCGATGATTCCCAAACTAGGCTGATGAAACAGGAGCTGCCCAGTACTCCCTGGTTTTCAATGGTTCTCTAATTGATATCAGTCAGTGATCAACTCGTAAAACATAACTAACCCTTACAAACCAAACTATAGAAAATTATTCTGTATTTGTTCTGAATCTTTACATTAATATCAAGTCATTTCTCCTCCTGTGGTTTATAGATTTACTAGGCTTGTCATTACAAGCATTTCCAACAGGCTTCTGAAGGCTTCAATCATAAGCATCTACTTCCTTTGCTTGAATACTGGATATCAGATGGTCGATCAGGAGGGATAAGGAACAAGAGAGTCTAGGAGTGAAACAAGTCAACAACCTC